GACTGCCTGCAGGTCAAGGCTGTGGTGGCTGTGCACATGCCACTGCGCTCTAGCCTGGGCGACAGAGTGAGACTCCAACTCAAAAACAAGAAAAAAGAAAAAGAAAAGAAAATTCACTAGAGTTACACACATGAGTTTTTGCACTTTCCTATATCTATGCTATACTACGCTGTACGTCAATAAAATTTACCAAAAAAGAAAAGAAAGTGCAAAGAAATTCACAGAGCAGTTAAGCCAGCAATTCCAATTCTAGGAACTGATCCATGGGCAGATGATGGGTGGACATGATGTTCCTGGCAAACTGGAAACAACCTAAACATCCTGGTTATTTAACCAGAGTGTTAAATGATAGCACACCCATATACTGGAATATTACTTAACCATTACAGAGAATGAGGTTGATTTTGTGCTAACATGCAATTACCTCTAAGACATAAAAGCAAGCAGGGTGTCAAAGGTGTAGAACAGAGGTCCCCAACCCTCGGGCCAGTACAGAACCAGGTCGCACAGCAAGATGTAAGCAGCAGGCGAGTGAGTGAAGCTTCATCTGTATTTACAGCCACTCCCCATCGCTGGCATGAATGCCTGAGCTGCCACCTATCACATCAGCTGTGGCATTAGACCCTCATGGGAGCATGAACCCTATTGTGAACTGCACATGTGAGGGATCTAGGTTGCACACTCTTTATGAGATTCTAATGCCACCACTGATCTACACAATAAATGTGATGTGCTTGAATCATCCCCAAACCATTCACTCCCCCACCTCCTTGCTCTTCCCCACTGGTCTGTGGAAAAATTATCTTCCATGAAATCAGTCCCTGATGCCAAAAACATTGGGGACTGCTGGTATAGAGCACTAACTGTCCTTTGTATAAGAGTATGTGTGTACGAGTATATCCACAGACTCTCTGGAAGGACACAGAAAGGGGCAGAATTCTGACTTGCAAACACATGCTCTCTCTACAGTAGTTATCTGTGATCATGTCCAGTCTGCCTGCTAGACCATGCTCTTCCCAAGTCTGTGGGGCCTGGTGTCAACAGGAGTCTCTGTGATGTCTCTGTCAGTGATTCACAACTTTCATTAGCTTATAAACATGTCACTATCTGACTATGGGCAGGGCCAGAATCAGGGCTTGGGCAGCAACCATACCTTTCTGTCTGTCTGTCTGGAAGATGGGCTAGAGACAGGCAGAACAAGGGCCCATGCCTGAAGAGCTTGAGCCAGCTGCTACCCAAGTTCCATGTGCACATGCTGTCCAGGGAGCAGAAACACATCCTGGGGCAAGAGAAACCAGGATGCCAGGTTCGGGAGAACTGCCTCCTGTCCTGCAGACAGGAGGACCTAGCCAAGGTCACACTAGCAGAGCAAGGGTTTGAATCCAGATCTGACTCCAAAGCCCATGACTCCCCCAGTTATTCAGGGGAGTCAGGGAGGGCTTCGCTGAGGAGTTGCATCCACAGCCTTGGGATCAAAGCAGACAAGGGTTGGTGGCCTGTTCCAGGTAGAAAGACTGCAATCTACATAGTAGAGGACGGTGACATGATACTGGGAGCACAGGGTTCCGTATTGGGACAGTGGGGACAAGAAGGCGGCAGGGAAAGCAGTTTAGGGGACTGGTCAGAAATGGTGCCAGAAGTGCTGGCTGGAGCCCTGTAAGGAAGAGTCATGGGATCCCAGATAAGGAGTGCAGATTCAGTCCTACAGCTGTTTGGATGCCAACTGAGCTTGAACACAGGTTCAGTACCACCTCTACTTCTGAAGACGGTTCTGCAGGGAAGTGAGGAGCCGACTGTAGACTGTCCCGACGGAGGCAGGGACACCTGTTGGGAGGCAGTGGCAATAATTCAGGTGAGCTAGGATGGTGGCCTGCACAAGAGGAGGTCTGGGTGATGAGAAAGGTTGGAGTGGTGTTCTAGAGGGAGAAGAACATGACGTAACTGGCAAAAGAAAGTGCAGGAAAAGGAGGCGCTGAAGATGACTGTCAGGTTTCTAGATCCAAGAAGAGGGTATCCAGTGGTGCCATTCACAGAGGTGAGAAACCCAGATTTGGGTAGAGTATGAGTTCAGTTTCAAGGACATGGAATTAGAGGTGCCTGCGGGATGTCCAAGTGGGGAGACCCGTAGATGACGTCATTCATTCATTCGATCAGTAGTTACTGTGTGCCTGTGCAGACCAACTAGACAGACAAGCTCCCCGGCCTGGGGACATTCCTTCTGGTGAGGAGACAGTTGATAAACAAGTAACTAAAGAAACAGGAAACTCACAGGTCATGGACAGAGTTGTGAGTAGAGGTCAGCTCCTCATGGCAGGTCTGTGGGAGGAGGTGCCTCTGGGGGGTGGCCCTGAAGATCAAAGGAGTTATCTGGGGGAACAGCATTCCAGAAAAGAGCAAGAGGAGGACCTGGAGAAGGCAGGGGCCTGGAGTACAGCTGGGGCGTGGAGAGAGTCAGAGCAGCAGGGGCTGAGCCAGGGAACTGGATCCCTGTAAGAACTAGCAAGCCACAGGAGGGAGTGGGGGCATCTTCCCAGTGCAGTGGGAGCCACTTTAAGGGTTAAAGTTCCCTCAGGACGCTGGGTGGGACTGGATTGTGGGGCAGGAGTGGACCAGCGAGAAGACTAACAAGGGAATCCAGGCAAAACAGAATATTCCAGTCTGTATCTAACACAACTTTCACGCACAGAACTTCCTCTGCCCTTCTCAGAGACTCCCCAGAATTAACCACGGTTCATTCACTTGTAAACACTCTTACTGTTACTTTCAGCAAATACCCTCTCTTCAGCCTACACAACCCCCAGTCCAGTCAAAGGAGGCTGATGAGAAACCAGTGCTGGCAAGAGTTCTGGGTCCCACCTGAGTTTCCCTCTAGGTATGGGGGCGCATGTGAGTTTGTTGAGGCTGTCCCTTGGGCCCAGGGTTCTCGTGCTCAGAGCAGTCCCCACAGTGCCAGGATCCTGTCTACCAGCTTTTATGGACAAGGATTCCTCACTGCGGTCCCTGCACCTTACAGTGCGCTAGCCCACATCACGGCTCAGCAAATGTGGGCTCAGCGACGGGATGGCCTATTGGTGCGCAGCAATATACACAAACACAGCAAAGCTCCTGCTCTTCAAGAACTTAGCACTGCCGAAGTGCATAGACCACACCAAGAGTCGTGAGCAGTGAGTGCATGGGGATAAAAGCCCCTTGGAAACGGAGCCAGATCTGTCATGCAGGTCCGAGGACCTCCCGGAGGCGATGGTATTTCCAGGGGGCCAGGGAAGAATGGGCAGATTTCACCAGCCATCTTTCAGTGATGACCGTTCTTGGCTTCCCCAGACCCCATCAAAGAATGGCTAACAGCGAACAGGAGACGCCTGAGGAGTGGTGTCCATCCATGAAGACTCAGGTCAAGAACCTCGGGCTCTGAATGTCTGTAGAAATGAGCGGATGCAAGAACGTCACCCGGAACCTGCCGGCTGTCAAACCTCTCCCGGGTCAGGGATGCCCTCCCAAGAGCCGAAGGTGGACCCCCAGAAATTAAAGACAAAATTAAAAGCAAAAAGGAGGTTGAGACCTCCATGTGGACCTCCTCTACAGTCAGATTCGGCGCATGGGCCGTGCGGCCGGCAGCAGGCGGCTCCTTTAAGTGTGGTCCCCTTCCCCAGCCCG